GTGGGAGCTACTTCTCAACACCATTCCCAAGCGAGCCGGAAGGCAGACACATATCTCAGCCTAGGTCTGCCAGGGGAGTGGTATGTCTGGGGAGCTGACCAGTCACCCTCCCAGTCAGCACTCAGGAATGTGCTGGGGTTACCACCAGTGTTTTGCACCTGGTGGGTAGGCAGGCAATTGGCCCAAGTCTCCAGAACAACTGGAAGGGGACAAGAGGGTATGACAATGGCAAAGGCAGCTTCTAGGGAAGATGAAGCCCAGCGAAGCTTGCCCCTCCAGCTAGGAGAATACTATTGAGTCTCCTGTTTCCAATAGCCACTGTGCATAATTGTTTGTATCTTCTATGTATTTTAAAGGACCTAGTATCTCTGGTCTATGCCTGTTGGCATCTTTCTGTCAACCACTGACACCGTTATGACAACCAGGGCCTAACGAGTGACTAAATCCTCACCATGCAGCACAGCACTGGCTTCTGCCAGCCTGTTCCTGCTAGCAAGGAACAGAGTGCTCTGATGACTCTGGGGCTCAGCGTACATGCATGTGCCACATTCCATGTTGCCATCTGACCCCAGCTCGGGCTCCCCAGATTTGTGGATTTCATCTTCAAAAGCAGAGCCTGGAACTCCTGTGTTTTCACAGCTAATACTCAAACTGACCAAAACACCAGGGTCTTCACTGTGAGGATTTGATGTCCTCCAATAACAGTCCCTGGTTCCAACTCAGCCTCGAGTGAATGAAGGAAGTGCATCCAACTGGAAAGCTGAAGGAATCCTATTGAGATAGAGAGTGCACCAAGTTTAGGGAACGTTAGAGAAACTTACCTGTCTGGAGATGGCAAGCTGCAGAGCCAGGTAGAAAGCTGCTTGGTGATCTGTAGGTGACAGGCTGTGGGCCCTGAAAAAGTATTCATGGCTATTAGTACATGGGAGAGGCCATTTTTACTTTCCCTACTAAACAAGTCTCAACATTTGCATTTTTATACCAAGGCCACATATTTATTTACTTTAACTACTTAATGTTTCACTCTTCTTCTTTGTCCACTATCAAATGTAAAGCATTTGTCCTCTTACCACTGCGAGTAGGTGTAATACAGGTGTATGTTTCTGTGTTTTGCCTACCTAGCATCTAAAATGGCAGCCAGTGCACCTAGGCTTTGAGGAGGGGCCTAGAGATGAAGAATCCACAGGCCCTGAGGTCTGACCTCCCCAGCAGATGCTTCCCTTGGCTGAGCAGGAGGAGCCCATATGTCATGCTGGGACACGGTGAAGCCATGTGTGTACTTGGCAAGGTGATGGCTGCTTCGGTTAGGTTTGGCTTTGCCTTAATGCTACTTCATCCAAATTTCTGGCTTTCAGAGAAACCACACGAAAATCAAAGGCCCAGCTTTGTTCATAAAATGAGGTTTTGGTTTTTGATAAAATATAGGGGGAAAAGAAAGACACTTATTCAGTCTTTTGAAGCTTCTACTAAACTCCATACAGTTTCCTAGTTTAGTTCATATTAACTGTGATGTGTAAGACTCTGTGGTAAGACATTAGGCTCAGTTTTATTAACTGGCCTTTGACACTGGATGGGAAGAGGCTGTACTGGCCTCCTAATTGATTGCAAATATGGTCTTTTTTGCTTTTATGTGAAAGTGAATTGTATTTCAGTATAAACAACTCAATGTGACTATGTACAAGACATAATTCTGTGTTTAACAGTCTGGTGGGAAGAGAAAAACAAACTTTTACTTTCTTTAAAAGGCACCATGGAGCAGACTAATTACAAACAGTGGGACCCAGATAGTAAACACACCTCCATGATGTTCTGTCAACATTCTGTAATTAAAGGTGGATCTTCTACCAGCAGAAAACAAATTGAAGATAAAAAAAGAAAACCAAATCATTATCCAAATCCATGCAAACCAATTCCACACAACTGTAGCAAAACGTGCCGAGGATGGCTTTCTAAAGTAATAAGTAAGGCCTTTTAATTAAATTGTCTGTCTGTGTGGGGAAAGGAGCTAAAGAATCTCCTAAGTGTTCACCATCCAGACATTATGCTAAGTCCACTAATATGTGGCTTTGTCTGGGCAAATGTGGTAGCTTGTGTACAGGACTGGGGTGAAGCAGAGGTTAGTCTCTGACCTTTATTAATCTTAAGAACACAACACCTAAACTCCCATTCCTGGGGAACCTTTACTAGAAACCTGGCCTCAAGACACAGCTTTAGGATTTTTCTCACCTTAGTTTAAGTGGCTAAGGCTGAGTATTTGCCTGTGTTATCCTTTTAAATGTCTTGTTTCTACCAGAGGCCTACTCAGTATGCTCCAGCTTTTATTATTTTACAAGTGTCGGTTTTCTATGAACTTGTACATCAAAGCATTTTCTTCTTTGGTGTTCATAAAAAATGAGATTGGAATGTCATGGTTTCTGTCTCTCCCAATTATTCAGGGAAAATGAATACAAAATTAAGTATGAAGAGACTTTGAATTATTTGGAATTATTTATTTTATACCATCTTCTTTCAAAAATAATAAAGCCAGGTTTCCACAATGCTTAAAAAGAATTTCTAAGAGCTATAATTTTCTCAGTCCAGTCACGTTTTTCACAAATAAAGTGCCTCCACGCAACACCAACCAAGTGAAAATCTGGCAAATTGAGGGTGTGCATAAAGACAGTTCTGACTGAAGGTCCCACCCTGGCCTTGTCCCATGATTGTTAACTGTTAACCACAGAACTGCAAAAGAAGCCAGAAGTGCTGGAGATCTTGGCATTTCTGAAGTGCATTAGGGCAACATCTGAAGAATTTCTGATGTGGCTAATAGTGAATACCCAACTGCCAAATTTCCAAGGCACAACTTAAACATGCACATATTAAAATCCTTATTTTGATAATTTGGCTAATGAATTAAACAGACCACTTTATGCCTATGAAAAACAAAAAGGGAAATAGGAGATTGTTAAACCAAACAAGGAAAACTGCATGGTGTTGTTCTCATGCAGACTCTAGAAAATTTGCTTCAGTTGTGCAGAACAACTTCAGCAGCTAAGCTTCCTGTGACAAGGCCACTTTGGTATGCCCACAGGCAACTTGCTTGACAGATCATCAAGCAATGCAGGTGAGAGGAAGGACGTCAGTGCTCCTAAGAACTTTAATACTCTGAACTCTGCACATGAATCTAAAGCAACCCCATAAACTCCATTCCCATGCAGTGAGCACATGACTAGGCTGCTAAGAGAAACCAGAGACCTAAAAACGTTACTGCAGAGATGCTCACAAAGCCCTTCCCTTGTTAAAGCACCTCTACATCCATTAATCCAATTTCTCTTCCATGAGGAAGACACTGCCCGTCCATCCATCCACATTACGCAGTATCTACTGTGATGCCACGCCCTATGCCAGCCTCTGGGGAGCCTGGAGATGAACCACACAAGTGCCTTTCCTTGAGGAGTTCCTCCAGAGGGGGACACCCAAAGTGATCCTAGGAGCAGTGCCCAGAGAGAGGCACACTGGGCTGATACTGGAGAGCAGGCGATGGGCCTCCCAGACTGCCTGGATAGAACCCAGAATGCTGGGAGGTTACCCCAGTGCTCTTCTAGACCCCAGTACCAACATCCTCTAGGGCTGAACCAAGAACATAGAGAGGGCTGCTCATTTTGACCCTGGTCCATAAGGCACATACCTTGTAACAATAAGAACTGCAATTTATGAAGTATCTACTATTAAGCATCTTGTCCAAGAACACCCAACAAAAGAGATACAGCCAGAAGTGGAATGGAGGACGTGTGATTCTGAGCACGTGTGATCCCAAGGCCTGGTCTTTATATAATTATCACCCTGCTGCCTTGTTTATTAGCCAGTTCTCTTTGAAGTCCACTTCAGTCCTGATTATACTGGACATGGAATTAGTCTATCAAGTTAAGAAAAAAATGTGGAAACTGGGTTAAATCTATTATTCAGGAACCTCCCTTTAGTTACACATATAAGGTGACCAACTTGTCCTGGTTTACCCAAGGCTTTCCTAGTTTTAGCACTGAAAGTCCCATGTTCCAGGAAACCACTCAATCCCTAACAAATTGGGATGGCTGGTCATCCTACATACACAAAACATACCACACTTACACTTGAGCTAGGAGGGAGAGGGGAAAATAAAGTGAGATTGTGTACCTGTGCCACACTGAGTGGCAAACACAAGCGACACCCTGCCACATCTTCCTCCTAGAGCAGCCCAGGCTCTCTGCATGCCGTGGGTCAATGCACTGAAATGCGCCCTCAACTATTTTCAGAATTGCTTTTCTCAGTAGGAGGTGAGAACCCACAGAAGCAGAAACTCAGATCAATTCAGCATCTTCAGAAAGGTCTGCAAACAACATTATGTTTTTCTTCACTAGACTTTTGTACAGGGCAAATGAATTGGTTCAGCTGCTTGGGTTAAGCTTATGAGTGTAAGAACAGCTGACAGTTCAACAGTAAGATACAGGCACACACTTGAATGTCTTCAAAAATCACCTTTTTGAATCTATTAGAGAGCAAATCTTTTTGAATTCTGGCTTTGGTCACAATTAAGAGTTAATTTTCACATGTTATATCTGTAACCCCATCACTTTTTGAATTACACGGTTTTCTTTTTAGACAAAAAATGCAAAGCAATAGTACAAACAGAATTGTAGAGGAGAATATTTAAAACACAGAAAAAGTACTTCTCATCCAAGTGGTTTTAAATTATCCATTTACATTTAAGAAGTAATACTAATCACTCTTATTTATTAAAAATCTTTCCCTTGAAGATTTTTGTTAGGACTACAATTCACTAGTATAGTCCTCATTAATGTGTACTTGAAATAAAATAGTTTTATTTCTTTGAAAAACATTCTATATTTTACACAAATACTAATTTAGGTTAGCTTTCCACAATGTAATCAGTTAGGTTAGTGGGATTTTATTACTCTTTATTGCCAGATGAACTAATATTTAAAAAACCTCTTTGAATTAAAACCTAAGCAAAAAAGAATTCAGGCCAATGGAATAGCTGTTATATAACATGAAGTTATACTGGCAGCTCAAGGCAGACCACCACCACAGCTGTTTTTAGAGAGCCAGTAAGATGTGCTGATTTAAGAAAAGTGAAACAGATGTAACGACCACGTTCTTAAGCATCCATGTGTGGGTTTCACAAACTAGGACTGGAGAATTTAAAACTCCAAATCATTTGAAATGAAAATGCTTTCCACACCCTGTGCTGAAGAACATCAACAAAAGCTTAGCACAGAGACAGGAGATCTGTTTGCAGCTGTCAATTGGTACTTTTTGTCATTAACCAGACTGAGACTGGAAAAGTGAGGAAGCTCTCAGCAAGCCTGCTTAAGAAGTAGAAAGACATGAGATGAAAGAGTTTCAGACTAACTGAAACCAGTGACAATGATTTTATAAAAAAGGCACGGGGATACCATAACAAATCTGAGCAACCCCAGTTCTAATGAAAGAATCTAACAAAGGTTAGCAGGTATCGGGAGGCTCTCATGAAATTTTCACATAAGCAGCTAAGTTTCTAATACACTTCCAAGAAATCAATGTAACTTAGATATATTTAAGGTGACAGGATCAATACCAATTCTAGATTTCATATCTTGGGGCTATATTTTCAGGCAATGATTTCATTGTAGTGATTTATTATACCTGTAACGAGAATAAAATTAGGGCACTGTAGACAGTATGTACAAGAAAAACTGGCTTAGCGTCAGGAGACCTTGATTCTATACTAACTTCAATATCTACGTGACTGGCAAATCCTTTAACTCCTGCATCTCAGTCCCTTACCTGCAACAGACATACCACTTCTCCTGGCTACCTTATTGGTGTGCGGTAAGGAGCTAATTAAATAAGAGATGTGAAAGAGCACTGGGACACTCAAGCGTTTTATAATTATATGGCATTCTCCTAATTTCATGAAAGGTGCAATGATGGAGACAAGCACAAAGCGTTATGGAGCAGGGTGGGGTAGGGGGATGTGGGGCTTTCTGGCCTGTCTTAGCAGTATTAGAATTAGTATTAGTATTTGGAGACCTCCTAAAAATCTGGTCTTTTCATTTCTTAATATAAAAACTACAGCTTGACATGTTAAAAAAAAGCTAAAAAAGACGGATCTCTTTTCTGGATGATGACAAATGTCTTTAATAAAGGAATCATAACCCAAGACATACAGAGTATCTATCTTTTTTGAGCTGAAATCACTTTATTAGGAATGAATAAAATAAACCCAGATGGACAAACAGATCAGGAATGCAGATTTACACAGCAACAAGTGATGCAGCAAGTTCTGATACTCTATGCTGGGTAAGATGAAAGACTCCTGGGGTGAAACACTGTTTACATAATCTTTATAAATATCTCTTCTTTTTATACTTATCATACTTTGGTGTCATTATGTACAGCCGAGTGAAAAGATGAACTCCCACTCACCTCTGAAATGCAAGAAGCGCCTTTCTCTGTAGGACCTCCTGCATCCCTCGCAAAGAAGCTAAGAAAAGGGTTCAATTAGTCAGTGCCATGGGAGATCAGGGAGTTTTTGACAAATGCAAAACCCATCACAACAATGAAACAATCAACTGGATTAAAAGCAACAATTTCTGAGTGCATCTGTGCCCAGTGCTGTACCAGGCACTGTAGAAGAAAGGAAATGAAGCCCAGTCCTACCCCCGGGCATTTGCACCCATTGGCCATGACTGTGGAACAATGTCAAGGGGAAAATGTGAGTTGGACGGTCACTCTTGGCACCCCCAGGCATATGGGGCTATTTCAGAAGACCAGTTGGGAACTCCAGAAGAAGCACATCTGTCTTCCCAGGTGTAGGCATGTAATTCATGGGTAAAGATTGGCTCTACAGGATGGCAAAGAAGGGATTCAGCCACCAATGGTGCTGGATTAGAAGGCCTTCAGAGAGTTCCTCCTGACCTAGAAGCTATGGTCCTGGGCCCAGGGCACTAGTTTGATGCCATCAAAGGCCAGTTGAATTCACACAGGGCAATGGCCAGACCTTTTAATACCTTGATGTATATACAAGGGATGGAGCAGGCAAACCCAACATTGATATTGGAAAATCGGCTCAAAAGTGTGAGGCCACCTGGCTGTGAGCCAACACTCATCCTGTGAGAAATGGTTCCCTTGGAGCCTGTCTAGGAATGAAAGAGAGAAAGTCCTGGAGGAACCTGTTTATGGTTGGAACTGTAGGAGGCACTCACCTAGCGGCTCCAGCATGGCAGCTTCCAGCCTGACTTCAGACTGACAGCAGGGGAAGGCTGCCCAGAGGGCCGGATGTGCTGCAGCCCATGGCTAACTTAGAACAGTGACTGAGCTTTCGGAGGTGACCCAACTGAATCATGAATGCAAGACGTGGCTCAACAGGGTCAAGTGACTCTCCCAAAGTTACAGGGCGAATTAGGTAGGCTTGGAACCAAGAATTTACATGGCTAAATCTAGGGCATTAAATTTGCTCTTCTCTGAAAAGCAAAGTGCTGGTATTGCCAATACATCATATGTATATAGGAAAATAGCAAAAAACCCATTTCTAAAAAGTAACTGGTATGCAAAACTTTCCCAGGGTCTTTGATATTTTAAAGCAGAAAGAATGAAAAAAGGGTTTGGGATAATTTGTAAAATAAACTATAGCAAAAATATTAAAAAAAAAAAAAAACTTTTAAATAAGGGAAGTAAGTACTATAAAAGTCAGGATAGCATTTTCTCTTAAAGGGGAAGGAGGGCTTGTAATTGGGAGGGGGCACATGGAGGGCTCCCCAGGTGGCTGGCAAGGTTCTATCTCCTGAGCAGAGTGGTGGTTACAAGGATATTTTGTCTTATACTAATTCATTAAGTTGTACATTTGTTTTACAGATTTTTTTGTATTCATGTTATATTTAACAATAAAATGTTAAAAGAGAAATAGTAATAATTCAGGAAAACAATTTATACTTTCTGCAAACACATCATTGAAAACTTCATTAAGTATATAAAACAGAATTTGAGATTTTTTTTAGATGGAAGCCCATCCACCAAAACTCTAAGTACATCCAAAATGTATAAATCACTGTATCAAGAGCCATAAATATTTGGTGAGCTGCCACACACACGTGTACATATCTGTGAATTAAAATGTGTGAGTGGAGAAGGGGCAGTTCCTGACCAGTCAAGGGAAGCTTCCTGGAAGTGTTTGGCCCTGAATTCTTCTACATTCCTGGGCGTAAGATCCAATATCCCTTCACAATGGTACAGCCCAGGCCAAGTGCTGGGGTGGGGGCAGGCAAAAGGCTGGGTTGGGTGAATCATCCTGCACTTGGTGGCAGATGCCATGCTGCCAGCTAGGTGCCTGGCACACTACCAACACGATGTACCTGTGAATATGGACCCGAAGCCCTGGCACAGGGCCTTCCTCCCTTCCCTCTCATTCTCCTACCAGCCCAAGCAGAGGATAGCAGCACCCTTCTAAGACAGAAGGGAACTGTGGGAATCCCAGTCCTGTGGCTCAACAACTCCGGGGGAACGGGAATTCTCTCACCGTCAGTGGCCTGCAGACTGTACGTGAGCCCCAGAGCTAAGTAGCCTTTGGCCTTGAACTCTGACGTTTTTTCTCCCACATCAACGACAGTTTTGGCAAACTTTTCAGCCTCTTCCAACTGAAAAATGAGACAAGTTAAAAACAATAACCTGCAGAATTTCTAACATGAGTTCCCATAAGCATCTGCTGCCGAGAATGGAATTCTGATGAGTCACTTTGAAAATAACTCCCAAGTCTTCCAATTCCACTTTGGTGATTGTTTTCTTTATTGAGCCTCTCTAACAGTCCTCAGGATTCCCACCTTGTCTTTTTTCTTTAAAATTTTCCTTACTGCTTATTTGCCTTCCTTTCCAAAGTCACTTTCATACTTGGTGGGGTTCTAGCTTTTTCATCTTTATTTTTTACTGATTGGTTTTGTAATGAGGTTGTGCTAGGTATTCAGAAGTTGAATTAAATATATTTGTAAAGAATAAAGTTCTTGGAATGTTTTGTGTTTGGGGCCTTCTTTTTTACCCCCATGACCTAAAGAATCCATTTAGACTTGGATTCTCTTTGTCACAAACTGCTGCAAATTTCAACTCCATCTATTTATTTCACAATACACAACACATGGACCTCACGCCGACAGATTTCAACAAGAAAATGTGCACCTGTAAACTACACCCACCAAAAGATGTCTTACACAATTCTTCAGGGGCAAAAATAATAAGATTTGTCCCTTGAGAGTATGGCAAATGTTGATGTTATTGAAGCTGGGTGACAGACATGAGAGTTCATTATACTCTTGACCTTTGTGGGTTTTGGAAATTTTAATAATAAAAATGTAAGAAAAAATATACAGAAAAGATTCATCACTCCCATCTTTTTAAAAAAAGAGGTTTATTTTAGGCGTTTAGAGATGTATAAGTTACAGTAATAAATACGGCCATAGCTGGAAGGAGGGCAGCAGAGTCACTGCTGGACACTGGCCTGCTCCAAACCCAAGGTTCATTCCTGTTCCACCCACTCCCAGAGCCTTCCTGCACTGTCCCCTCGGCTTGCAGCCCCAAACTGTCAAAGCCTACAAACCACACCACACCGCCACAGCTGTGTGTTTTAGGTGAAAGCCTACTCTTTCAAAATGTCTTTTTTCTTTTACATTTTCCGAAGCAAAATTGAACAGAAGTAGAACACTTTCTTCACAAGGCTTACTTTTCTCCTGCCGGGAGAGATACATGGAAAGTAACAAGCAGCAAGGACCATAATGGTGAAAAGCCTGAGTGAGCAAAGAGTCAGTCTTCCGAGCAACTTCTGATCACTAATCTTGATATAAAGTTAAAGAAAAGAAATTAAAACTGCATTGTGGGCAGGCCCGGTGGCATACTCGGTAGAGTGCGGTGCTTGGGAGTGTGGTGACCCTCCCACCGAGGGTTCGGATCCCATATAGAGACCGGTCCACTCACTGGTTGAGCGCGGTGCGGGCGCGACACCGAGGGTTGCGATCCCGTTGCCGGTCGCAGTACGGGTGCGACACTGAGGGTTGCGATCCCGTTACCAGTCACGAAAAAAGACAAAAAGGAAAAAAAAACAAAACTGCATTGTATGTGGTAATTATCTATACCACCACCTCGGCAATTAGTCTGAGCTTTCTATTTTCTACTCAAATGACATATTTTTGAGGTTCTAGAACTTATAGATCAGGCTATCACCAGATTCAAATTTGATGGAGAATGTTTGAAGAAGAAAGCATATGTAAAGGAAGGAGAATGAAGACAGTTAGATTTACACATGAGCTAAACGAGAGGGTAACTCTTTGCTTTAGAGAAAAACTCAGGCTCAGCCAAGGATGAATAATTCAGTGACATACCTTCTCAGTCCGACAAGACTCACATAAAGCAGGATGTGTCTGAGTATGAATTCCAATTCTATCTCATCATTGCTACTTCTGATGCACATTCCCATGAAAAAGAAAAACCCAGAGTATCCCGGTAACATATGGGTTCCCCTCGGTCTGTGAGGTGGGTGAGGCTTGAGGAGGCCAAGGGCCAGGCCTGGGGCCCAGGGTTCTAAACAGCCTTATCTTTGTGTAGCTGATGAATTACTGTTATTTTTTCTCTGTGCCTTGACATGAAAAATGCTGGCGGCCCTGCCCTGGAGTCCTCTGCTGAGGAGCAGAGGGCCACAGCCCTACTCACCCAGTGAAGGGAGCCCATACACAGCTTGGCAGCAAGGAGAGGGATGGTGGCATCGTCGGGCTTCAGACGGATACACTCTTTCAGCACCTTCACGGCACGAGCAGACTTGGCAAGAGGAGATTATTTCTGTGAAACTCAGAATTTTTGACAAAGCCAAATACTACAGCCTTCGCAGAGGGGCCTTTGCTCAGGATGCCCTCCTAACGAGGTCTTCCAACTCTGAGCCCAATCAAGCAGTGGCCTGGGGACAGCAATAACCAGAGCTTGGGGCTTCTGGGTGACAGGGGAGGGAACTGTGGTTAAAAACAAGCAGAAATCCTCCCCTGGCAACACCCTAATTTTGTTCCCTACTTGTGTAGCCATTGTAAAAATAAGAAAAAAAATTAAGACAGTGGAAGCTTATGTTATCATAAAAAATAAAATACCCCATTTAAAGCATACCATACTAAATTTCTAACTTCACTTAGCCCAAATAATCTTATATCTCATACTTAATTCACTAAATGGCCCAAATTAATGAGAAACACAATGGTTACTGCCATAATTGAGGGCACACATGGGGGGAGGGGAGGTGTTATTCCTAGCACCTGAGACGTATTATCTTATTTACCTAATAACAATTCTGTGAAGTAGGTACTACTATTACTCCACTTTACTGAAGTTGACAGTACGTTACTAAATGACTTGCCCTGGGTCACTCAGCTGTGAGGGCAGCACCAGTCTTCAATTCCGCAGTTGGACGTACCAGCCCATGCTCTCCACCGTATCGTATACTGCCTAATGTAACATATGCTAGAGATAACCAAAAGATCCTCCCCACCTCCCCTAGGAATAAGTTTATACTCTCCAGCGAGTGAAAGGGTCAGTGTGAAGAACTAGCTTTGGTTTAAGCCAAGTCCATGTCATATGATGAAGTCGCAATGGCTAGAAAAAGGCAAATATTTCAGAATTTTTCTTCTCAGTATCACGTTCACTTTGGCCCCCAAATAATTAAACTTGATTACTCATTAGGGAAACCACAGGGCAGTTTCAAACAGTGGTTTAGACTTCCACAAGGTACTACATCATTCCATGAAATTCAATGACACTAACCACGGACATAAAGAATTGTATAATCTCAAAGGGCAACTCACTTTTCCAGCAGCCATCAGCGACAGAGCAAACTGGTACCAGAGGTGGAACTCCTCAAAGGCAAACTTCATGGCTCTTTCTAAGCACTGGTTTGGAAAGAAAAACAAATGTGGGCATCTGAAAATTGCCAGTGTCTCAACCGGACAAGTCTGTTTGTGTTTGTGAACACAAAATCTGCTTCCCTTGGATGCTGAAGCAATCCTCCACCAAACACCTCCTGAGCAGTCCCGTGAGCAGTGGGACACACCATGCCAGAGGCCAGGACAACCCACGGTTGGCCAAAACACAGTCCCTGATCTCAAGTAGCTCTGTATCTTGTACAGGGAATGAGGCGATGCACAAACAACTCCAATACAAGGCCCAAACCAGCAAGTATCCCAAGGGCAGGAAGCAGAAAGTACAATGGCAAAGTGATCACAGGAATCAGGACCGGCATCTGGAAAAATGCACCTGAGCTGGGCCTGAAGGAAGACAGCACAGCTATGGCATGGAATGGCATTCCAGGAAGAGAAGCAGCATGAACAGACATGGAGGCACGAAAGGGTGTGCTTGGACTTGGCAATGGCAAGTGGTCCAGGGCATAGGCAGGAAGAGGGAGATCAGCCTGGAGGGCAGGCATGGGCTGGGGCCACGTCACTGAGAGTCTGAATTCTAAGTTGTTCCATCTCTCTCTTCCCCTCAGGTTCTGCCTCCTTGGTGCCCCTGAAGTTCTCACCACCATAACTATATATCAGTGTGACTGTCGTCACCCTCTCTACCCTAGCTCGGCCCACCATGAGAAACTCTCAAAGGCAGAAATCATGACTTTGTCTCCTCAGAGCTGGTACACTGCCTGCCTGGGGAGGACAATCTTCAAATGAACCCCCCCCTAGGAAGATGAGGAGGAC